TGTGGTTTCACTTGAATTTAAGGTTTAAGGAAAAAAAATCATGCCAAATAACCCAAGACTCACAAATGTTAGTCAACAGCATGACAGCCTTTCTCCGGAAATCAATCAACGTGGTATTTCTATCAATTTCTGTTATTTAATCAGTCTGATACAGATCTTTCAGTCTTATTTGAAACTTAGGTCTGAAAACTTCCCTGGCAAAAGAAAACTTCCCATTGAACTTGCAGTGGCACCAAACAAACTGTCGAGACCTCTCAGTTCTTTTCGGTATATATAGAGGCTTTTAAGAGAAAAAATTGAAATCAAAAGAATTGAGCTACCCCAAGGTGGTAGTAGTAGCTGACTTGAAGTGGAGGAAGGCATTGATTATTTTTAATTTTTTTTTTTTTTTTTTAATTAGCCTTAGGTCTTATAACAGGTGCTATACTCTAAGCCAGCAGTTTTTACCATCTGTGCTTGGAATCAGTGCTAACAATCTTTTGCAGAAAGCCAGCCTTGCAGTAACTTGTATCAGCAGGTCTCAGGAGGTTGGCCAAGTACACCGCACACAGAAAGAGGTTTTACTCTTCTTTATGCAGAGACTAAAAACTGCACTGGTTTCAGTTTGTGACTGGCATGGTTCCAGTGACTAAAGACTTGTTACCACAGTGAAATGTGATACTATTTGCACTAGATGGGTGATACACATTAAAGGGGGGGGGAAAAGCCCAACTGATTATTGCTAGTTTTTTTTCCAACTGCTTATCCAGTGAGATCAGGGGCCAGTTTTTCAGGTACTCAGACATGCCTTAACTGAAGCATCATGTTGTGAGCTTTGCAAAGGAACCTAAAGGGTCTCAGCTGCACTACTCAAGACTGGGAAAGCTTTTTTCATAAGCTAAGGTGGGAGCAAAACCAACTAATATGATGCCATGTAAATCTGAATACAGGATGAGTGCAAGTGGATCAGTGGGTCAGAATTCAGGTAGGATTCTCCTCTGAAGAGCTGGGAGGAGAATGCGCTCCAGTTAAGCCAGACATAGTAAGTATGTTAATCTTAGCAAACCACAGGTTTGTGAACTGTGTAACCATATTGTATGATATCTACCAGGAAAAAAAATGGTTAAGAGCCTGTCAGGGTAGGTTGTATCTTGCACCTAATTGAAAACGAAGTGGGAGTGCAACCTTAGTTGCAGAAACTGCTCTACAGAATGATGGTATCCGGGAAGTTTAGCAGCAGTGCAGCTTGCTGTGAGCTCCCACAGCCTGTGTGGATGCTCAGCCGTTGCAAACTTGTTCAGCTGGGGAGGACTGAAGTTCTGCTTCCAGTAGTTTTATTAATTTGAATACTGTGAGACATCGATGAAGCCTGCAGCTTGTTTTGTAAATGCTGTCCAACTATTTCTTTCAGATTTTTAAATGAACCTAATAGACAATATAACACTTCTTCCCTCAGCCTTCTTTAAATACAAAGACATGGTAAGATATCATTCCTACAACAGGTTTCTTACAGACTTGATTGTCCTGAGGCAAGAAACTTGCCTGATTTACAAGAAAAATCCTTGACGATTCCATTTCTGAGCTGTCAAGGTTTTGTGGTTGCAAGGTAAGCTGCTGTGCCTGTTGAATGGCATGTCCACAGCTGCCAGTCAGCAGCCAGGGTTTTGGATTAGCACTGCAGATGCTGACTGGTGTATCAGAAGTTGTGAAAAGTTTCCACACGATAGTCAAAACAGATATCCATACCTGTTCATAGGCTGAAGGAGTACTGTTGTAGTTCCTCAACAAATTTAGGATTGTTATGTTTGTTGGTAGCCCTATAGTAAGCACTTTTTACTTCTCCCTGTCAATAAAACTGCCATTTTCTAAATCAAATAAAGTTACAGATGGCAGGTTGTTTGAGAAACTGTTGTATCAACCCCATGGAACAAAATCACAATGAGAATCATGGAGAAGATAAATATGGCAGCCAAACATAACCACATGCAGAAGGTGGTTGGGCTTTTTTTTTTTTTAGCAAGGGGGACAATTGTTAACCTGGCTCCAGTTGCCTTCCACATCTCTAAGAAATGCTGTTATCTTTAGAGATGACATTTCCCTTTGAGTAGTGCCAGTGCCAATATCTTGTTTTAATCTCCTGGTTGAACTCTGTGGCCAGGGGAGCAAGAACAATGACTTGTTGCATGATTTTAGTGCTCATTAGATCAATGCGATGTCAGCATCCTGTCTGCCAGACGGCAGTGTCAGACTCCAAGGGCCTAAGGCAGACACGCGCATACGTAATGGGTAGATTTAGACTAGATATAAGGAAGAAATTTTTTACGCTGAGGGTGGTGAAACACTGGCACAGGTTGCCCAGAGAGGTGGTGGATGCCCCATCCCTGGAAACATTCAAGGTCAGGTTGGACGGGGCTCTGAGCAACCTGCTCTAGTTGAAGATGTCCCTGCCCACAGCAGGGGGGTTGGACTAGATGGCCTTTAGAGGTCCCTTCCAACCCAAACTATTCTATGATGATTCTAAAGGGTTGTGATGGTAGCTGCCTAATAAAGAGACTTGTCCAATAACTACATCTGCTTCTCTTCTGTCTCTCACCAGGTTTGTCACTAGGGATGCTTCTGAGGCTTACATCAAATTCAAGCTATTTATTTCTTTTTCTCTGGCTTCATTACATCCATGTAGTACATTGTAGTACATCCATGTGGTACACCATTACATTAGTGCTGTAACCCTGAGGCACTAAGAGACTCTACTCTAGATACAGCTGACTCCCCGTGTGCACACCCCCCACCCCCCTTTATTCCTCTGAGGGTTTTTTGAAAAGGCGGCTTTTGTCTTTGACAGTTGAGATTGCCTTGTAAGTGAATAGTCCTCTGGAACCATGGCCTATAAAACAGAAGCAAAACAGTATTTTAAATTACTGCTTGTAAATGCAGTTTGGTTTGGATAAAGCAGTGAGGTTCATGTTACCACATAACTTCTAATTCCACATACTCAAGATGGTTAAGTAGAAATTATTTCACATTTATTCTGTATGTTCTGTAGGACAGTGATTGGGCCTACATGGGATCATATTCCTGTCATAATTATACACTATTAGTGGTAAAATGTTGTGAGTAAAAGTCACATTTTTATCTTGTAAATTAAGCTGTATTGCAGCCTATGGTGACCATAGATACCCTGACTTTCCTTCCCAAAGCAGGGGCTGGTACAAAGGAAAGGGAAATGACTCAAATGGTTCCCTTCCTCTTGACCTCAAGGTAACTAGTCAGAACGACGTAGCAGTTCTGACTCCATCCAGCAGCTAACAGCAGCTTCTAGAAAGTTTAAAAGGTTTACTGTAAGAAACTTGACTTTGCCAACCTGGTACCTGACCTTTCAGTGGGGAATGTTGTGTGTTTTGGGGGAAAGAGTATTTTGGTCAAAAGTCTGTCATAGAATTCCCATTTGAGGGGATTCTGAGGAAATAATCTTTTAAACCTGTTGCTTTTAGTTCTGAGTAGCATGCAAGAAGTTTTTATGAGTGATACACATTTTTGTGACAAATAGAAGACAAAATCCTGCAGAAAGAGGCATCACACCAATTTGAGAACATGCTCCCTAAGTCTTGAACTGGAGCATATAAATTCCTCTAACACGTTCCCAGCCTCCTCCCATCTCACTGCTGCAACATATTACATTTGGCAGGGTTCTGACAGCTTCCTCAGGGGTTTTCCTCCAGGGCTTGTGACGACTGCTGCCTTTCTGATCTCCTGAAAGGGGTCTTTGAAGACTTGGAGTGGGAAGACAGGGGTGGAGGGCAAGGCACAAAGTTTGGTAGGAGTGGAGTAGGGTCCAAAAGTTGGACAATGGCTTGTCCTAATGGGATGGTTCTTTTGTTCTGTTTGGTTGGTGACTTGCCAAAAATGGTGTCCTAGAAATGTGCTAATGATAAGTAAACCAGCATGGCAAGTTCGTGAGTTGTAGCCCAAGTGGTTGGGTTTTTTTCCTTTAAGTCTTCTGTTCCTGGAGTTCAGGCAATCTTTCTTTAAATAAACAAAATCCAAATTCTAGCCCTTGTGAAGAGAGTTCGTGGACATGATCCACATCTACGCTGGCAGAAGGTGAACACTGCGGATGCATGTTGGGCTGCCTCACTCTGTCCACTGTTTTGCTGTGAATCAGGGCTGCAAGCAGCAGTGGATTTTTCTTCCGAGATGCCTGGCTCTTGTCTATCTGTGTATGATAGCCATAGACACAGATTTCCTGTGTGCTCTTGAATATAATGTCAATACTTGTGACTACATGTTTTTTGGGTTTGGTTTTTTTTTTTTTACTTTAAATGAATGTGATAAGTGTTCTTGATTCCCCCCTCCCCCTTCTCCCTTCCCTCTTCTCCAAATTGTTCTGCTGACTTAAAGGACAATTTAAAATGCACTTACCTTAAAATGTATCATTTGAATGACACTTGATTCTGTGTTTTAGGGTGTGAGTTGTCATATTGGAAAGGAATATATTTTCATGGCCACCTTGTTCAAGCGGCCTGTAAAACAGGTTTGACTTGAAGTGACCATTTGAACTTCACAAAGTAGTTTAATCACACTGAAAAACTTGTTTCTTTTAATTAAAAATGCATACACAATCTACTTCCCTGATCCCTGATATTACAGCTTGTTCTTCCTTGTCTCTTTTTTAGGGGATGTTTTGTTTGTTCTTAAAGACTGGATATGCTAGGTCAATGAACTGTTACTCCAGGAAGCAGAGCTGAGAGGACAAGCTGAGAAGACATCATTACAATGGCAAGCAGGAATGCAACACTTCCCCAAAAGTCTCTCATCTAGGGAAGCATGCACATACTCTACTGCAAGAAAGCAACATTTGGGGCTCTTTAAACCACTGACTATAACCTGGTCCAGCTTTCTCAGTGCCTGCTGAAAAAGACTTTTCTTCTATACCTTTAAAGCGGACTACAAAGCGGACTACAAGACTATCCTCAGCAGGATTTAAGATCCTCCTGGACACTTTGCCATCCCCTACACACAAGATGATTGACCTAAGCTTCCTGACAGAGGAGGAACAGGAGGCAATAATGAAGGTGCTGCAACGGGATGCAGAGCTTAAAAGAGCTGAAGAAGAGAGAGTCAGGTAAGGGATTTAGCACCCTGGGTTGTCCTGGGAAGACCTACACTGTTCATATACTGAGTTACTCAGAGCATATGAGTAGATAAAAACAGTTGTTGCTGAGGGGCCCATATTCCACAGTATATGTGGTCTGGAGATTTTTACTCTGGACTAGATTTAGCATAGTCTCTGGATGAAATGCCTCTACCACACATATGATTCATTACTGGCCAAAAGACTAACTGTTGATTTGGACCCTTACGATTCCCTAAGGGGCCAAACACACCTGGTATGCATCTAGCTTGGTATGCATCTGGCTTGATATGCATCTGGCTTGGCTTCCTCAGAAAAGGATTCAGTTTCAAGTATCAAAACCTCTGCAAACTGAACTAATGCGTAATAAGTGGGGGGATTTGATTCAAAAGGAGCACTAGCAACCCAAACAAATGAGAGAGGCAGTATGGATGCGGTCAGCAATATGTCTGAGTGATGAAGTTATACCTCAAATATGTGGAGCATTGGAGCAGTCCAGAGGACTATGCTCCATTGCCAAGAGAAGTCCTTGCAATCTGTGGCTAAAGCAGAAAATTGCTCCCTGTTTTCTTTGTGGTGTCACAACAACACATTGCTCTGTCTATCTGGAGTGTTTTGTGTGCTGGGAGGTTTTCCTAGAGCTACTATTAGGGTAACTGCCACGAATAGAGATGTATGTATGGAAAGCAGCATTGCCCAGATGACTTAACATTGAGAAAGCCATCCACACAGGTACAAACAGCAGTTGAATAGTGGTTTCAGTTAATACAGATAGCTATCGGCTCAAGAATGAGGATTTTAGTAGTCAGGCTTTTTTTCAGTGTGAAGGAAAGTATCCATTACAGGTACACAAAATGGCAAGTGACTGAATAATGAGAAAAGGAGCCTCAGATGCTGAAAGGTCAGAGTGCTGTAACACAAATAGATGTTTACAGGTCTCTGCTAAGGCAGGATTTTCTCTCATTGATTCAGTAATCTTCTCAAGGATGCTTTCTCATTGTGATGTTCCTCACAAAGACAAGTATTTCTTATTTAAACGTTTTGAAATTATTCCAACCATGATGTATTCGTGATGCTTTTCTTCTGCTGAAAAATTTTTTTTTTTTGACAAATGCCCTCTGTGTAGGCATACTCTACCCTGCAAATGAAACAGCAGCCTGCCACTTGCCCCAAGAGCAGTGTTAATTTTGCTGAGCATGCTTGTGCAGCCTTGAGGTCATTTGGCAGCATGTGGTCAGCGTGTTGTTGAGTTATTCCTCTTGCGCTTTTCAGTGTAAGAGCAATAAAGGGCAAACCAGTAATTTCTGGTTAAAAAGCGTTCTCCTCTCAAGGCATTTGCTTCGCTGAAGACTGAAGGTAGTAAAATCATTACAGGCAATGTTCCCAATTTTTTTCCCCACTATCTTACTACAACCCAAGGAGGAGATGTTTTCACCACGTAGTTTTGTTTCCTGCTTCAAAAAGCAGAAAACTCACTTTGCTGTATCAGAATGGGCATTTTCTTTTCTTTACTGTAGGTAGAAAAATACTGGCTTTAGTTGTGGAATGGTACAACAGTGCCAGGTCTGAAAGTGCTCAGGGAAAGTAATTGTAGATGTGAGTTTGAAAACAGTATCTGGGGAAAGGAACCCTTCCTGGAACAGAAAATCAAAAAAGCCACTCAGTAGTGGTCTCAGTAGGGGCTGTCGACAAGTATTTTTGTCTGTATAAATTCACATATGTTATTTGTAATTCTAGTTCAAGAGGGTGTGGTGGAAAATGCAAGGGACTGCAGGTTGTAGCAGCCTGTAATCAGCATGTTTGTTTCTACAATAAAATGTCTCCTCTGGTTTCTGAATATTATAACTTCTGAGAAGCTGGAAGCTTACATCTGAAACTGATTTTTCTGCATAGATGTGGCACATGGAGCTTGCTTTTTATATATTATATATTAAAACACTACCTGAATCATATGTCCAGCCAAGGAGATATAATATTTTAGTTTGAATTCTACAGCCTTGCACACCTGGAAGATTCCAAGAGCTGGGATCGAATGTCATCATACAAACATCACACTCTTGAACAAAGTGTTGTTTGTATGTGTATATAATGGAAGTCTTTTAATGTGATCTTTTTCCCTCTAGAAGAAATTCTGAGGTTTGAAGGGTGTTCTAATAACCTGTGCCATGTTCCTGGAGCGTGGACAAACTGGTAACATGACAGAATCCTCTTTGAGCAACTTCCTAGTGGAATTTTACAAATCACATGATGAAGTCCCTTCTCTGCTAACAGCTCCTAATATTGCTTATCTGTAGTAAAACTGTACTGATTAGACTGGCCACGCAGCCTCCTTAGGCAGTCTGCTTTAATTCTTGGTTTAAGTGCTATAATAGGTGTTTGCCCCGTCCTGCGGCTCCTCTCGTGTTGGTCTGAATCGGGCTGATAGTTTTAGGAACAGCATGGTTTTGGGAACAGCATGCCTGCTTCCTCCTTGATCTCTGCTGAGGTCTGTCCCAAAGGAAAGGGGATATTGATGGTTTCTTCTCATGAGCAAAAGGGTGATGAAGAAATCTCAGATGACAAGGGGGTGTGATGCAAGGAAATCAAAAGACATTGCATCCTTCTTTATTCCTAGGGCAAGAAAATGCCTCTCTTTGCTTCATTACCCCAGGAGCTGCTGCCAGCCCCTGAATGGCAGCGTTGCTGAGGAGGGGAAAAACAGCATAAAATGGAAGAGCCAAGTGACAGCTTGTCAAGACTAGAAACTGGTTTTCATCATATTGCTGATTTATTTATTTTTTTGTTGTTGTCCTTATTCCTGTCCAGGAATCTCTGATATACCCTGCTCCAGCTGGGTTTTGGGTATTGAACAAATGAGTGGGCGAAGCACATAACTGAATTTCCTGGCAGTAGCTTCAACGTAGCCCCTAACTCTTTTTACAGTTCTGTAGTTCAGAATTAACACAGTTTTGGGTCCTTTCTGGAGACAGTAACATGGAACAGAAATATATCTGAAGCTTTGGATTGTGGTTGGGTGACTCTCCTGTGGTGGAGTGGCTGGTCCCCGGCACCGGCATGTCTGAGGCAGAAAGCTGTTGTGGTCGCCTTTACGACAGGGTTCCCTGCTGTGGCTATTGGCCCTTCCCAGCAGAACCTCCTGGCAATGCTGTTGTGGGCTGTGCCTTGGGATTGTCTGCTCATTGTGTAAAGTGAAGGAGGCTAGTGATAGGGGAATTCTGATGTGGAGTTGTTTGTGTGGTGGGTGGTGACCGCTGTGTGCCAAAACCCTTTAATACATACATTGGTGTGGCATTGCAAAAAAAGAGAAAGCTTCAGGGGTTTGATTCTGGTGGGTGCTACACACACTTAACCTTTCTCATAATGTTCAGTGGGAGTGTGTGGCTGTTGAAACCCTAGTGTAAATGTTTTTTTGATTCTGGTCAGCTTCAACAGATACGCTCATCAGTCACTTTTCAAGGCAGTTTTCCTTACATTGTAGACTGTCCAAAGGAAGGCTTTTTTGTGGGTATTGGGGTGAGCTGAATATTGGCATTGAGGGAACCAGACTTACCACTGTCGTGTGAAAATGACATTCAATGACTATCACCAGAATACATTCTTAAAATCTTCATAAAATACTTTTCTGTTAGATGTAACAGTTTTGAGGGTGCGCTTAGCAGAGGCAAGGTTCTTGGTGAAGATGGTTTTGAACATGGGTGCCAGTTCAAGTTTAAAGGGCTGACTGAAGATAGAGTTTAGAGATGCTGCCTTAGAAGTGCTGTCAAAACTAACCTCGTTTCTGAAAAGAATTACCTGTTTTTCCTATTCTGCCTCCAGGGTATTTCTTCCAAATGTTCTAAAAATTTTCAAAATGTGTCCTCAGTATCCACTCAAATGGTTGTGGCAGCCTGGTAGTGTCTGCATAGTTAGGTAACTAGGCACCAATTATAACTTCATAATTTTGAAGTATCACACTTTCTCATTGCCGTACAAGACCTAGGGACTCTTTCTAAAGCTAAATCTCTGCAAAAAAGTTCACTTTACCAGTTCTCCACCCCTTTTTCTTATAAACTCCTTAATATGTATCATTTGCACTACTTCATGTTAAAAATTTGGGCATCTGTAAATGAATGGAAAAATAACACATGGAAGAGGTGTGGCCTACAGGCAAGGCAAGATCACAGTATGTTTGAATGTGCTCTGCACTCTGTCCTGACCAGTAAACAGAATGGCACTTCGTGTCTAATTGAGGTCTCTTAGACTGGCCATCATCCCTTCTGATCCATGCTGAATTTTTCTGAGAGCTTGCTTGGGCTCTGGATCAGGGATGCCACAAATAACAGTAGCTTTCTCTAAATCTAGTGCTAAGGATATATTAAGATCCTGTCAGAGTATCCCTTCTAGCAACATGATTCTGAGGTTCTTCGCAGGGTACTGATGTTATCCTTAAGCCTTGGTGGATTCAAATTAGTCTAGTAATAAGCAAGTGTGACTTATAAGAAAATAAAGCCTACAATTCTTGTGGAGCTGATTTTAAAAACACATTAAAAAACCCTAAACCCGCTTTGTGGCACATTTAATTCTTGTATTTTTAGGTCATGTTTGTGTCAACAAGGAGCTTGCTTACGATGTGAACAAAGCTTTTTAATCTGAAATTAACTCTACCCTTAGTGATAAATCTCCATAGGTTGATTTATTGTAAGAGACTAAGAATTAGGTGGCTTGAACTCTTTCACTGAAAATTCAAACTGACATATCTTAGTATCTCCTCTTGTCAAACAGAGAATCTGTGCTCACACTGCTCAGACATATTATAGGAGAAATAGGAATTAATTGTTATTAATTGAAACTCATGCTTTTTTTATAACTAGTTCTGAAATCATATACCCATGTCTAGTGGTCGTACCAGGGACTTCTGATTAACTTTTAATGGGCTTACTTGTTAGTAAGTGTAACGTGCTGATGGTCAAAGTGTATACATGAGAGTGTGTGCTTGGAGATTGCCTTCAGCC